AATACACAATGTTTGGACTCCCCTCAAATCATAAAACGTACCCTTCTCTCAGATCAGACACTCTCGACAAAGGTGCAGCCATAACAAAGTGACAAGGCTTAACGTGTGGCATAGCGTAAGGACTTTATGCCTGAATATGGAGCCAGAATTTGGGCTGCACAGAGCTGGTCAAGAGGCAACACCTGCAACTCTATGCATTTTAGATAGTTCAAATGTTTCTTGCGGCCTATAGAGGGCCTTAACTAGAAAGATCCATCCTATTTTCTGCTGCGCAACACCAATCCACTCAATCAGATTGTAAATACAGTTAGAGATTCAGCTAAGAACTACAGCTGTCCGACTGCTTTTTTTTTTTACAAAGCAGTCCATCATCACAATGCACCATACCGCAGCAATCCTCACTCTCCATCATTTTGGGGTAAATTTTCACACATAAATCCGCCAATCAACAAATTTGCATGTCTAACACAACAGGCTATTTCTCTAGGTAACATAAAAATACAATATCTTTAAGATTTCATGTCATACTCATCCATCCCTCATCTTTTCCATCTTCTTTAATCCACTTTACATGTTTGATCACTATTGAAAGATGGAGAAAGGGTAGAATAGGAGAAAATGAAGAGAAGAGATGGAGAGGGGTTAGTTATATAAACCAGCCCCAATACACTCGTCTCTACCCTTTATCTTATCTAATCTATCTAATCTTGCATCCACCCTCACCTACGCCAGAAATAGTACTAATCCAATGTTACTTCATCAATTTAATTGGGCTTGCATTAGCATAATAAGTTATTCTAAGTAATCTAATTGACTGCCAGTGTTTAATTCATTCTAAATAGGAATATTTAACTCTATGTTGCAGAAATCTCCAATGCAGGTCCCCTCTGTATAGTGGCATGTAAGTCAACTCGCAAACAAACGTGTTCATAAACCTTTTATAGTCAAACGGGCTCTCAAAATGAACTTTAACTGCTATTTGAACCCTGATCTTGCATACCTTCCCTCTTCATGCCCATGGCCAGGCACTTCTGGTAGCGGCAGTACTGGCAGCGATTGCGCTGGCGTTTGTCGACCAGGCACTCTTTGTTATCTCTGCAGGTATAACTAAGGTCTTTGCGCACAGTTCGTTTGAAGAAACCTTTGCAACCCTCACAGCTGTACACTCCGTAGTGCTTGCCTGTCAATTAAAACATAAAAAGACGTTAAGCAAGAGTCTGATGGGGAAATCAAACATCACAATTGTATTATTCAGCAAAATTGTCTGGTTTTCAAAAGATGTTGAAACTATTGAAAACACATTACTAAAATGAAATAAAACATTCTACAGCGTGTGTTTTCACTTCTGCTAATCCTGCTGTTAGCACACTCACTCACCAGAGGAGCGATCTCCACAGATGACACACATGCGTTTCTGAGACATCATTATCCCAGGGCTGTGAGATGGCATGGGCCTCAGGCCAAACGGAGGCTTGACATCTTCTGAGCTGCTGATTGAGTGCATCCCTGCTGAAGAAGAGATCTGGGTAAACGAAAGAAACCAGAAAGATTCATTAAAAACACAGCGGTGCATTTGGTTCATTTTGTCATGTTAAATTACAACACTGTTGAATGCATTATCAAAATGTACAATCTTCCTGGACATATTGTACACACAAAAAACTGTGCAGTGTATGCAAAACTATCATGTGTAGCCACGACCCTGTGTAAACAAATACAAGTACACTATAGCAGATACATGCCTAAAATACAAAAAAGAAGGTGCACCATGACATTAATTGACTGACTAATGAATGTCAGTTACCTGACTGCTGCTGATGGGTCCAAATCCCAGAGTGGGTGAGACCACTGGGGAGTTAAGTGAGGAGCTGATTACTGAGAAGGGAGAACCCAAGATGCTGGTGGGGCTGTTGGAGGCTGAACTGTTGCCTTGCTGTGAGGACATGACGAGTAAGATACCCAATGGAGAGGATACGTTCTCGTCTGAAGGATATCAATCTGAGGGTGATACAGAGGATATTATTAGTTTATGATGGAACTTGAAACATCGGTTTGCAATAACTGGTAATGATTGCAGGTAGATCTAAAATGGTGTACTGTAGTTGTTAATAAACAGGATTTTAATTGCCAGCTATGTTTGACATTTGTTAATACTTTAAATCATATGTCAAGCAAATATGCGCATCAGTCTTTGACTGATGTTTTTATCTTGGACTGTTTATCAGACAAAACATTACATTTGAGGACATTTTGGAGTTTAAGAATTGCAATGAAAGAGTTTCACTGTTTCCTGGCAGATGAGAAACTCATTGATTAACCTAGAAAATAATCGTTAGTTGTAGCCTTAGTTTGAGGACATAGTGACGTTACGTCTCAAATGTTCCAACAATTATACAGCCGTCAATAATACTAAAATAAGCCTGACACGTATTCATTTTCCCACGAAAAGAGTGATGCGTTTGGCGAATACGACTGTAACCATTTATTAGCTAAGCGGAAAACCAACATCCAAACTGTTTTACATGTTCAAATAGCCCAGAATTAAGAGGAAAACGCATTAACACGTAGCAACGTATTGTGTATTATATGAAAGTGTCTGTTCAAAGTGTTCAAAACACTAAATACATCAACGTTGGCTTACATTAATGTGTTAACGATAGCTGGCCCCATTTGGCATCGCAATTGCGTTACACGTTTGCTAAATGTTGCTAACGATACGCAGTAACGTTTACATTTAAGTTTCACCGTGACAAGAGGCTTCCAGTAAATAAAAAGCAGAAACAAAAGTGCCGGTGACCATGAGTTATTTCATGAATAAATAGTGGTACAGTGCATTACTCAACATAACACATAAATAATGATTGCTTTCACCGAGGGTAGCTAGCTAGCTAGCTAGCTAGCCGCAAATCCATGAAAGCTCACAAGCCCGACAGCTAACATTAGCTTTGGCTGCCATACGTCTGGAAAATATTGCATGCTATAATATGTCTTGAAACTACGATATAAACATACCCCGGTAATCATCAAGAAATGTGCAGCTTGATAACTCGACGGTCATCGAGCCACTTCAATAAATCCGCAATAATAGCGCAATGTATTCTAGCTAAGATTAGCTTGTTAGCTGCAATTACGGCTAGCCTCTCCAGCTAACATTAGCTTGGTTCCCGGTGATAGTCTGAGGAAGCAGTGGATGACAAAACAGCTCATGGTCGTTTGAAGGTTGGAATTACTTACCAGACACACCTTCGACGCATTGTTAAAGACCACTTCACTGTACTTGTTGTAACCAGACCAGCGCCAGACTACAGGCCGAGACTCAGAGCGAGTTTATTTCAACTTGACGCTGTTGTTGTTTACAGGCCATGGCGGCTCAGTGCCAGTATCCCTTGAGCCAAAATGTCTCATGGGACCACCCATAACACCTTGTCATATGACACTCCTGCAGTATGTGTTCCGCTTGATCTATACTGTAATCTTATAGAGATTAATTCACTTTAACATAGCATTTCATTATTGTGCGCAATATCCGACCATCTGCATGAACATTGTAATACATAATATTTACTTTTTCAAATGATAGTTCTCCCTTAAATTAAGGGGAATTAAAGGAGAATGGCACACAGCACATTTGCATTCTGAAAATCTGTGTTACTCATAGTCTATGATTCTGACACAAGATTCAGATGATTTTACAAATGTGTTTTTGGTAATGGTGTATTAATAAAGTTGCATACAGGTATGATATAGTAAATTGCATTTCATTCAAATTGAAATTTAAAAGTGTTTTTTGGAGACATAATCTGATCCAACTCTTAGACAGCCACAACTACAAGAAGCACTGGAATGCTTTTGACACGAGGGGATATACAGTATTGCACAACTTTGTATGTTTCAGTGATGTTGTTTGTTATATTCTTTCACCAGAAGTATTCATTACATTGTTACTTTTCTGCACTCCTCGTCAATATTTCTTGTTCTCTGTGTGAAAAATAAATTATTGTTATTAATGCTTTTTTACATGTTCAATTTTTCAACCAGTTTCTTATAAATAATTCTAGTTCTGCCCTTAATTAGATGCAGCCCTCTGAAAAAAGGTGACATTTTCCAGTAAACATGATCCAAAAGAGCAACATATCACATTACTGTTCTTATTTCAGATATATTTGTTCGTTTGTTTTTAAAGCACTACCCCTCTGACTCACTCTCTCTCTGCTGGGCCTGTAGATCCATCTCAATCTTCTTTCTTTGTTTGGTGTAAAAATGCATGCATGCATTTATTCATCCACACTTTTTTAACATGATTGATGATTCTCCTACCAACACATTTCTCCAGGGAAGGTATGGTGGTTTAATATAACCTGGCCTGGTCAGGGATGTAATCTTGCACGCTATTGTAATTATTTTTCTACTAACCTGTTGCCAAATAATGTCATAATCATAGATCATGTCAGCAGCTCACAGTTACCCACTTTTGATGGATGGATATCCTCGTGGATTCATCTTCCTATTATACACACATGCATTTCCAAACATTTGGACTACCTATGTTGCAAATGTATTATCTTTTCAATTTACACACGGCATCTATTGCACGTCTGTCCGTCCTGGGAGAGGGATCCCTCCTCTGTTGCTCTCCCTGAGGTTTCTCCCATTTTTCCCTTTAAACTGTGGGTTTTCTCTGGAAGTTTTTCCTTGTACGATGTGAGGGTCTAAGGAGAGAGGGTGTCGCATTGTCATACTGATATTCTGTACACACTGTGAAGACCACTGAGACAAATGTAACATTTGTGATATTGGGCTATATAAATAAACATTGATTGATTGATTGATTGATTTTGATGAATTGATAAATGTAACTGTTTTCATTGAATTTCAACTCAACAAACCAGGAACCCATGTGCCTTCCTGTATGTGCAATAGAGAAAGAATCCTGAAAAACAGCTTCTTACGTGGTTGCTCCAAAAGAGGTTTCTCTGAACAAGCCCGGTGGCATTCTTACAAACACTGCAGCTCATAGCTGCTGCTGTGTTGCAGCAACCGGTTAAAATAGTACATTAAAAACAACTAGTTTTTAGTTTTGCTGTTTGCCATGATCATGACTGAAGACAGGTTGAGCACGATGAAAGGGACTCAAACTTTATATCTTCTTTTTATCTCAGGTTTGTAGCTTACATGCTTGTTTTCCTCATATTCGAATACTCATGTATAATTTTGTCTGGATATTTCTGAAGAGAAAAATGTTATTGTTTTACCTGTTGGTATTCAAACTGCTGTAACATGTTACTTGTTTTTTCACAGGATTGTGCTGGTCTGCACTGGGATCTTCGGATTTTCACATTATTAATATTGCTAAGAAGAACTATGCAGAAGCAAAGAACTACTGCAGACAAATGTACACTGATTTAGCTTCAGTTCACAACTCAATAGAAATGAATAATTTGATAGCCTTAGTTCCAAGTATTGACAGAGCTTGGATAGGACTGGAGACTGGAAAAGTGTGGATGTGGCATTGGTCCCTGCCAGATGAAAATCTGGATTTTTTTAGATGGAAGGATGGACCACCACAAATAAAAAACGAAGATGCATGTGCATTCATGGATAAAGATGGCGAATGGATTGTGAGTGACTGTGGAACTAAAAGAAGTTTTGTTTGTCATGGTAAGTTGAATTGCAATATTGTATTTAAATATCTTTCACACAGCACAAATCAGTTTAAAATGGAGGACATTAGTCACTTTTTCTGTGTTTAAAATATCAAACTTTTGGATTTTCAGGAAACGAGGTTGCCAGTGGTCTAATTGTAACTGAGACCAAATCATGGAGGGACGCTCAGAATCATTGCAGGGGCTTGTCGTCTGATCTCATTAGCATACACTCAGAAGAAGAGAATGAGGCAGTGCATGATTTGTCTGAGTCAGAAAACGTGTGGATTGGCCTCTTTAAAGATTCCTGGAAGTGGTCTGATGGGAGCATGTCATCTTTCCGTTATTGGCTACCTGCTCAGCCTAACTACAAAGGTCAGAATTGTACTGCTGTCATTTTCAAAAATCAAGGCAAGTGGAATGACCTGAAATGTGCCGGAAAGCGCCATTTTGTTTGCCAAGGGGGTAAGTTGCTACATACATATGTTCTCTGTCAGCAAAGTTATCTTTATGCTCTTTTAATTTATGTTTTGTAACCTTGCAAAATACCCAACAGAGATCTATAGTCTGTGTCAATTTAATTTGTTACTTACTCTTACAGCAATAAAATCAATTCCAACAACCACACATCAAAGTACAGAGGGGACGACAGAAGATCTGACAACTTTTTACTCATCAACATCTCAAGAGGCCATAATTACTTTTCATTTTAATGTGGTTTCTAATACTTCGCACACCTCTAACGTTACCACGGAAGAAGCAACAACTGCTGATCGTCCAACAACACCAAATACCACAGATCTTGTGTCAAACACGTCAATCACCGAGCTCAACAATGCAGCAACAAAAATGTCAACTGTGACAGCAACACAGCAAATTCCTACTACTACCGCACTCATAACTAGAAATGGTATCTCTACTTTTACAACACTGAAGCCGACTTCAGCCGATACCACTTCACCGTCCTTAACTCTAAAGCCCACGGAAACCAGTCATAGTTTGCTTACAGGTATTCCAATTATAATGTGCCTTTGTGGTCATTTTCCCTGTATTTGCCTGGTGACTGGATTAAAATGTCTCTGTTTTTCTCTCTTTTGTCTTTTAAAAAGGAAACCTGATACTAGTCCGGAAAAATATGACGTGGATTGAAGCTATGGGATACTGCAGGGACCACCATATTGATCTCATCCACATTACCACCAAAGACATTCAGGGGAAGGTGGCTGATATGGCAAAGAAAGCCACATCACCCCATGTTTGGCTAGGTTTACGATTCACTTGTAAATTTAACTTTTGGTTCTGGACAAATTCAACTACGAGTTGTTACCAGAACTGGGCCCCTGGACAAGGACCTAAAGGGAGACATGACTGTGGTGTTACAGGTGCCATTGATACCACTGGGAGGCAGCAGTGGGTAGGCCTGCCTGAGACAGAACAGCTGAATTTCATCTGCTCCACATGCACTGAATGAGAGTGGAGTAACTTCAGGAGACATTGTTGTTGTTGCAGTTTTTCTGTATGCTGTATGGAAAAAATACAATCTTTGTGGATAGAAAGTATATGATTCAACATTAAATACGTTTCTTTTAACCAATTGTGACATCAACTTATTTGATTTTAATGCTCACTTATGACGTCATACTTCTACCATTGTTGAAATACAGCTGCCTTCTCTATTGTTGATTTTGAATTTCATTAAATATGAAAACCTCCTGTGGTGTGTAGGCGTGGACATTCACAGTCATGGGCAGCAAGAGTAATGTGAGAACATTGATCTGCTTTACGCCTTTCACTCAGGGGTTACTATTTGCATGTTGACCCCCTGGGTTGGGCCCCAACATTTTCTTTTTTAGACCACCAGAGTGTGGCCCCGATCCAAACTGCCTGCTGCCCTCTCTGACCTGACCTTCACTAGCGGACACATGGAAGACAGCGCTCACAGACGCTCACCTTCCTGTCTGCACCCTTGAGGTACACAGAGCATCACCATGGGAAGTGGAAATGATACAACATTTTCAATGAATATCAAACTCTTCCACAAAAAATAAAAATGGGCTGTTTTCCCTGTTAACTGTAAAGAAACATGATGAGTTCCCTGTATTTTTTTATTTGTATTTAATGTTCACACCATACAACAATTACTACAACAACTATTTACTCTAGATGCAGTTTGATAATTGTCATTGCTTGTTAAACTCTATTTCCCTTGAGGTGAAAAATAAGAAACCGTGAAGAATATAACAACAAGAGTAATATACACTGTATTAATAGAAATATACAGTATATTACTCAATATTAATACACGCTATATTACTCAATACTATTAATTAATATAACTGCTGTAAGTTATAACTAGTTATGACAAGTTTCGATAATTGGAGCATACTGAAGTGAGTCCTCAAACTCCAAACTGATAATAAAGTTATATACAAATACATTAATAGTAATATTAATATAAATATATACTATAGTTATAGTGGTATACATTATATTACTCAATATTATTATAGATTATATTAGTAGTAATATTGATAGTAATATACACTATATTACTCAATATTATTATACACTATATAACTATACCGTAAGTTATTATAACTTCTGTAAGGTCAAAACTATATATACTATACAACTCAATATTATTATTACCCAATACTGTAAGTTATTATAACTGTTGTAATTCAAAACTGTCTAAGAACAGGTTGTAATAATTTATGTATACCGAAGTGAGTCCTAAAATTCCCAACTGATAATAAAATTATACAGATCTATAACCCAATATGCCTATAGGCTTCTAATTAAAAAGATGAGACCTTATACTGTAGTTTCACATAACACTTTTCATATAATCCATTGTTAAGGAGAGCACTTCATAACTTCACAAGTATACACGTTTGTTTGCATCATTGACTTAAATAACCCAATATAACCACTAAAAACTAGTAGGGAAAGCTTGTAATCTACCGCTGCATTTTTATAAGTGCTTTTGCATCCACAACAAGGGTCTTGTCACTTGTCAATTACCACGGACCATTACACATGAGTGTGTCATAGCTTAGTTTCTCACAGAATAGGCCTTGGTCAGTGAGCCTCCCATCAGTTCAATGTTAATGTCCCATTGGGTCCAGTCAGTGAGTCTCTGGACTCCCCCCTCACCCCCTTTTCTCACCCTCATCTCCTCTTGTGTGCTGTCCAGCTGGCTCTGACCTCTGACCCTTTCACCCTCACTCCTGACCCCTGAGGACATTCCCACGCCACACCCTTTTGTGTACATCTCGCCATGGAGACCCAGTGGTCACTCCCTCTGCATTTTTAGAGATTATGGTGATAGGCATAATTCACTTTCACTGGGATCAGTGTAATGCAACCTAATTTGGCCTAATCCTAATTCAAGTATGAGGTGCTACAACCCTAAAATGTATATATTTATTAAGAGTGTTTGTGAAGAATATTTACAATATATCATTTAATGTAGGCCTACATGTCATTTTATCATCAAAATCCTTAGCCTGACTCAATGCAATACAAACTATGTTAAATAAATCACAAGTGTAAATGCAGTAACTATAAATGCTTCTTTCTGAGGGTCCAAACGTTTAACAATAGTTTTTCTATCTAAATGCGGTCATTACAGGAATTTATTCCTCCGGGTGTATTATTTTTTTTTTAAGATGAAACTTTAAACATTGGTGCAAATATACATTTTTGACTATGTTCCTCTACCTGTCATGGGCACTTGTGTCCTTCCCTCTTTTATTTTCTTCTCTGAGCGCGCACCCCTCCGTGGATCCCTCCCTTCTTTTCCTTCTGTCACTTTCACAGTTAATTGTAGAATAGAGATTTTCTCCATTGTGCCTGGGTCTCTTAGGTAACCCCACTCCTGCATGAAATGAGATGGATAGAGGCGAAGGCATCGAGAGGGGGACAGGCAAACTGAACAAGCAGCGGAGGAGGACGGACACAGAGGACAGAGGACAGAGGACAGAGGACCTAACAATATTGAAAAAAAAGTAAAGATAGACTTTTATATTTAATAACATTAATAGATGCTTCTCTTGGAATATTATCACTGTATTATTGAAATTGCTGGGGCATGTAAGTATTACAATAATGTACCTATTAACAAGTTAGTTAGTACAAGTTAATTTAAAAATATGCCAGGGTATAGATAAGAAATAGTACATTTCTAAATAATCAATGTGTACATTTTGTGTAATAATATAGTGCTACTGGTTAAAAACCTTTGGAACATGGATTACATTTAATCTTTACATTTAATCATTTAAAAAAACTTCTGATGACATTTCTGAGAGTGGCCTGTTTTTCTTTTGACGGTTCATTCATTTATTTAAAATTGTCAGCCCATTTGATGATAGATATTTCTGTGCTTGTTTTTATTCATCTCATACACTTCTTTTAAACCAATGCAGCTATTCAGACCAAGTTTGACAGGGAGTCTGGCGTTGATTGTCCAAACGCAATTCTTGTGTTGATTCTCCATATCCAGGAGTTGTGCATGGACATCTTGCCTCAGACTCTCATTTACTTCATCTTCTAGCTGGAATAACACAGAGAACTACATGGGAATTCATTTAATGTCATTTAGCTGTGTGCAGGCCTTTCATTTTTTTATAATTACGGGAAAAAAATAATTTCATCGCCCCTACTGGCTTTAAACTATTGGTTTAGTTTGATTGAAATTACATATTTCTGGAACATTTTCAAAATATAATAAAAAAGTTTGGATTATTAACAAATGAGACTTTATGCCTTTAAAATGCAGGTATTGAAATTGTAAATCAGTTCTCCGAATGAATCTAAAGCTTCCAGATCCTGGACTTTGACTTTTTTAATTTCCCGAGTTCCCTGTTGAAGGAGGAGGCTGCATCATTGGACGAGCATATTTGAATTTGTTATTGTAAAGTTCTGTTTGTTTCATGTGTGAATATCTTATAATATTGAAGAAACAAGTGACCTTGGTTTGTGGATCAGTTGTTCGCTGAAAAGAAACATTTTAAAAGAACAATTTATCTTGCTATTTGGGGAAAATCCGATCATCAATGGTTGAAGAGATGATCTGGTAACGGGCCACATGGTGAATGGAGGCCGAGAGTGTGTGCCAAATGTGTCTTTGGATTACTCAGGGCCATAACACACCCCTGTTCTTATTAGGCAAACTGTGCGTACTATACACAGTGTATATATGTGTAACAAATGTATATATTTATCTATAAAATATTTTATATAAGCTTGATGTTGATGTTACAGCTATGTCTTTTTCAAATCTAAAACGTAAAAATGCAATTCATGTTATTAAAGAATACCATGAAGTAAGTCAAAAAAGATGTAGACTATTAATTGCATATTGACAATATTAAGATAGAAATTAATCACAAAATCTCCTTAAACAAACATGCTGTATGTGCAATAAAGTAGTAGATCACTGCAAGCCTAAAACCTCAGGCAAATTACCAGGGATTGGTCATCTGAAGCATGTAGTTCTGATAACAATGTTGGTGCTAATTTCTTACAAAAACCTCAACATGGATGTTTATAGGTGTTTACATTTACAAGAGTATAAAGTGAAACATCAATCAAATAAATAAATGTGAACATCTGACGCTTTCACTTGCATTTTTGGTTTATGTTAAATGTAATTATAATAAAATGTACATGTTTCCTGCTATACTTGAGAAGAAATATGATTTTTTTTATTGCATCTTATATGAAGCTGTTTATGTAGAAAAAAATAAAGTTTCTGAACCGGTCTCAGTGTGTGTTTCTTTCTTTTGCTGAGTTAAGTCAAGTTAACTGCAAGACAAGTATTATGTGTAGATTAAGAAGCTTTAGCAACTATTGATGAGATATATTTGAAAATGAACCATTAACATGAAGAAATGTTGATATGTATGGAGTTTACAGAAACTTTAGCAACACTTCTCTTTCCTCTAAATCATTCCTGAATCAGTAAACAGCCCTCACTCCATTCCCTACCGTAAGAGAACAAACTCGATTTCTTGTAAATCACATGATTTTCGGGAAATCTGGCTGACATGGAGTAACCAGTGAGAGTCTGGGTACACATTGTGAAACAGAAACTAACACTTTCCATGCTGCATGCCAAGTAATAAAAAAACAATTATGTTGTAGCCTGACATTTTAATGTAAACACTATGAGAATATAACACATCTGTACAATAGAGTATTTCTGACAATATGATGATTTTCTCAATTTATGTATAGCCAGTTAGAACATGCAACATGTGGCATCATTTTGAGAAATTAAACAAAGTTATCTAAAAAGGAAAAAAAGAGGGAGGGCTTTGCGAAGTCCAACGATTGGGAAATAAAGGGATGGATCAATATCAAAACTTCAGTTCATCAAAAGCCTGAGTCAGAGCAGGCAAAGACCTAGGAGCTGCACCATGGAGCGCTACATATTCTCAATACTGTTTCTGATCTTGACCGTGGAACCAGCTGCTTCAACGGACAATGGGTAAATGTAGAAATAGCTGCATGATTATACATGATGTCATGTAATGGGAATCTTTTTTTGTTTGATGAAAAAAGGATTTAAATATATACAGTATACAT